GCCTTGAACTCAGAAATCCGCCTGTCTCTGCCTCCCAAGTGCTGGGATTAAAGGCGTGCACCACCACCGCCCGGCACCTGATATCTAGTTTCTTGAGTTCTTTATGTATTTTGGATATCAGACCCTTGTTGGATGTAGGGTTGGGTAAGATATTCTGCCTTGTATAGGCTACCATTTGTCTTTTTGACAGTGTCCTTTGCCTTATATAAGCTTTTCAGTTTCATAAAGGCATACTTGGTAATTGTTGATCTTAGTGCCTTAGCTGTTGGTCTTCTGTTTAGGAAGCTGTCTTCTGTGTCAATGCATTCAAGGCCATTACTCACTTTATTTCCTGTCAGATTTAGTGTATCCAGTTTTATATTGAGGTCTTTGGTTCACATGGATTTGAGTTTTGTGCTGATGAAAGATATGGATCTATTTGAATTCTTCTATATGTAGACTGCCAGTTAGACCAGCACCCTTTGTTGAAGATACTTTCTTTTTTTCTCCATTGTACAGTTTTAGCTTCTTTGTCAAAAATCAAGTGTTCATAGGTGTGTGGATTTACTTCTGGATCTTTAATTCATTCCCACCAATCAAACTGTTTTTATGTGAATGTCATACATTTTTTTTTAAACTATTGCTTTGTAGAACAACTTGAAATTAGGGATGGTGTTATGTCCAGAAGTTCTTTTATTGTACAGGGTTGTTTTAGATATTGTGGGTTTTTTTCTATATGAAGTTGAACATTGTTCTTTCAAGGTATGAAGAAATTGTGCTGAAATATTGATGGGAATTGCATTGAACCTGTAGATTGCTTTTGGTAAGATGGCCATTTTCACTATGTTAATCCTACTGATCCATAAGCATGGGTGATCTTTCCATCTTCTGATACCATCTTCAGTTTCTTTCTTTGAAGATTTGGAGTTCTTGTCATACAGCTCTTTCACTTGTTTAGTTAGAGTTACACCAAAATATTTTATATTATTTGTGGCTATTGTGAAGGCTGTTACTTCCCTAATTTCTCTCTCAGACTGTTTATTTAATTAATTAATTTATTTATTTATTTGGTTTTCGAGACAGGGTTTCTCTGTGCAGCCTGGCTGTCCTGGAACTCACTCTGTAGACCAGGCTGGCCTTGAACTCAGAAACCTGCCTGTTTCTGCCTCCTAAGTGCTGGGATTAAAGGCGTGTGCCACCACTGCCCAGCCTTATTGTTTGTATATAGAAGGGCTATTGCTTTCTTTAAAGCTAATTTTGTATCCAGCCACTTTGCTGAAGGTACTTATCAGTGGTAGGAGTTCTCTGGTAGAATTTTGGGGATTGCTTATGTATACTATCATATTATCCTTGAATAGTGAAACTTTTGACTTCTTCTTTTCCAATTTTCCCCTTGATCTCCATTTGTCTAATTGCTCTAACTAGAACTTCAAGTACTATAGTGAAGAGATTGGAAGAGAGTGGACAGCCTGTCTTGTCCCTGATTTTAGTAGAATTGCCTTAAGTTTCTCTCCATTTAATTTAATATATGTTATTGGCTTGCTGCATATTGCCTTTATTGTGTTTAGGAATGTGCCTTGTGTCCCTGATCTCTCCAAGACTTTTATTATAAAGGGGTGTTGGCTTTTGTGAATGGCCTTTTCAGCGTCTAATGAGATGATTATGTGATATTTTTTCTTTCAGTTTGTTTATATGGCTAATTACATTGATGGATTTTTGGATGTTGAATCATCCCTGCATCCCTGCAATGAACATTACTTGATCATGGTAGATGGTGCCTTTGATGTGTTCTTGGATTTGGTTTGTGAGTATTTTTTAATCAGTGCTCATAAGGAAAATTGGTCTGAAATTCTCTTTCATTGTTGAGGCTTTGTGTGGTTTAGGTATGAATGTGGCTGTGGCTTCAGAAAATGATTTTGTCATGTTCCTCTGTTTCTGTTTTGTGGAACAGTTTGAGTAGTATTGGTATTAGCCCTTCTTTCAAAGTCTGCTAGAATTCTACACTAAAATCATCTTGCCCTGGGCATTTTTTGAGTGGGAGACTTTTAATTATTTTTATTTCCTTAGGGGCTATACATCTATTTATATTTTTTACCTGATCGTGATTGAACTTTGGTAAGTGGTATCTGTCGAGAAAATCAATTCATTTTATTTATTTCTAATTTTGTGGAATACAGGTTTTGGAAGTAAAATCTAATGTTTTTTTGGATTTGCTTTGTGTCTGTTTATAGCCCCCTTTTCTAATTTTGTTAATTTGGATAGTCTCTCTCTGCCTTTTAGTTTATTTGTTTATTGTTACTATCTTGTTTGTCTATCTTGTTAATTTTCTCAAAGAACCAAGTCTTTATTTCATTGACTGTTTGTATTGTTCACTTTAATGTATTGGTTTCAGCCCTGAGTTTGATTATTTCCTGCCTTCGAATCCTCTTGGGTTTGTGCTTCTTTTTATTCTAGAGCTTTAAGGTGTGCTGTTAAGCCAATAGTATGTGATCTCACTAATTTTTTTTTTTTAAATGAAGGCATTTAGTGCTACGAACTTTCCTCTGAGCAACCACCAGAGCCTCAGCCTGTGTCTTGTGAGGACAATATGAACCATATTGTGTAAGTCAGTCTAATGAATTCCTCTTTAGTATACTTATTCTATTGGTTCTGTTCTTCTAGAGAACCCTAATACAAATGGTAACCTACATTCATATTATATCCCCAAATTTTTTGGAAATTTTAATAACTTACTGATGAAGTTAGTGACACCCTTCTGGGAAAATAAGCATATATAAATAGCAACTTAGAGAACAAATGCATGGAGGCCACTCATTTTCAACTAAAGAACTAAATACATGTACATCAGTGCTGCTGCTATGGAGAGCAATCTGGCCATGTTGACCACAAATGAAGAGGGTTTGAAGAATTTAAAATTCTTTCATGTTCTTGGAATTATCTTACTTTTTGGGGGGAGGGTGAGCTAGTAGGGTTTTGTGACTTAATATGATAATTTTTTGTCATGGGATTTTCAGTATTGATCAATATTGAACTACTGAGCTCCATACACATGTGATTCACGGCAATTTCCTTTTCCTTGAGGCCTTCTGGCTACACCACTTTCATGTGGCCTGATATTATGCACCATGGGCTAAACCATATGTGGTCTTCTCTGTCTCTGTCTCTCTCTCTCTTCCTCCCTTCTCCCCTTCCCTCCCTCCATTTCTTCCTTTTCCTTCCTTCCTTCCTTCTTTCCTTCCTTTTTTTTAAGTAAGACTCTGAATATAAGTGTCTCTTGAAAGACTCAGGTTCTAGAGCAGCAGAGTTCAGAGGTTAGGATTTTGGGAAACATGTGAACTATTAGTATTCTGAATTTATCAGTGGATCAATCCACTGATTGCTATGAAATTCTATGGCATTATAGAGAGGTAGTAGAAACTTAAGTGGAACCTAATGGAGAAATAGGTCATTGGAGGTGCACCTTGGGAGGATGTATCTTCTCAGATGCCTCTTATTCTATTTGTAAGCTTCCATGAGGCAAGCAAATGCATATCTGCTAGTGCTTCTACCATGATGCCTCTACAGCATAACAACAGAGCCAAGTGACCGTAAACCATGAACAAACATAAGCCTTTTCCCCCAGAGTTTTTACTTTTGGCATTTTGCCCAAATTAGAATGGTTTTAACTTAATGATATGTAACTAATATGCATTTTAGAATAGAAAGCATACTGCAGTTTTAAATTTTGACCTTTTCCAGGGCTAGTGGTGTCTTTCAGTTTCTTTTTGTAATGCTATAGCCACCATCTGCAGATCCCAGTCAGCACTTCAGACATGAGGGAAGCAACAGTCAGTCTTCTGTGTTCTGCTATTCTGGCTGGGGTATGTGCGCTATCTACCATTTCAATTTAATCTATCTCTGGCATGGGAAGGAGCCCCATCCTCACTTGGGAGCATCTGTATTTGGAAACACTCAGACTAGGACTCATGAAATTCTTTCACTCCTTATAAACTTCCTCTACTGTGATGTGACACAAGAATAGAAACTGTTTTGTTCAATGTATTCTCAACACTTGGAAGGTTGGGTACACACTAGGTGACTGACATATGTTTGTAGAACAGGATGGATCCTGTTTTTGTGGGATTCTTACTGGGGCAGGTGTGCTGAGCCACACTTGCCATCAAATCCAGTTCCCTAGCCTGATTGCCTTTGCTTACAGATTCACAGTGTGCTCTGGATAGAGGCATCATTGCGTTCCCCTACCTTTTTCACAATGCTGGGCTCTCTCTAGATTTGGTTACAAAGGTAAGCTTCTCCGATATAATTTTCTGTTTGAATATTTTTTTTTCAAGAGAATTAAATCGTTTATTGAGTACACATGATAATGGATGATACACAAGCTTCATTCCCATCTGTTATTTTATCTGATACCGTTATTCAATTTTGATATTGCATAGGGTGTGCCAACAACCATTTTATAACCAAATTGTGACCTTGCTTGGATGACCCTTTCAATGGTGAAACTGTTAAGTTACAACAGTAACTGGCAGTTTAACAACACCAAGGTTTTTGAAGACAATGGCTTCTCCACCCAAGCAATCATAAATAAATTCCAAATGGAACTTGGCATCACCCTGAAGGAATTCTAACTTCACACTGTTGGGGAAGTTTACCAAGACGGCTTCAAGAGTAGACTAACTTTACACAGCACATTTAAAAAAAAAAAAAAAGACACATTTATTCAGCGTCATGATCCGACTATTACATTTAGCAATCAACAGCATGGGTGAAAAAGGTCTACAGTAAAACCTTTTGTTGGAATGCTTTACACTTTCCACAGAACAGAAACTAAAATAACCTGTTATACAATTAGTCACAAATACAGTCCTGGAGTTTTTGCCCACACACATGAGTATTGTCTAAAACATGTCTTCTATGTAGCAGCTAGGCCCTGCCACCACTGTGCTTGGCTGAGTTCACAAATCTGTTGTAATCTGTAGCTTCCCTGTCACTTCTCTGGCTCTCCTCTCCTGCTAAGCTTTGTTTCCTGGCTATAATTAGAACCTCTTGCCACTGCCATAGCTACTGCTGCTGCTGGAACCTCCATAGCCACCTTGGTTTCGTGGTTTAGCAAAGTACTGGCCTCCACCACCATAAGGGCCAGAGCTCCTGCCTCCAAAGTTCCCTCCCTTCATCGGTCCAAAATTTGAAGACTGATTGTTGTAATTGCCAAAATCATTGTAGCTTCCACCACCTCCAAAATTGCTTCCGTCATTGCCAAATCCATTATAGCCATCCCCACTGCCACCATATCCACCACCACCACGGCTGCCACCAAAGCCACCACGACCACTGAAGTTCCCTCCTCGACCAAAATTGTCATTGCCACCAAAACCACCTCCACGACCACCACCAAAGTTTCCAGAACCACTTCGACCTCTCTGGCTGGATGAAGCACTAGCCATCTCTTGCTTTGACAGAGCTTTTCTTACTTCACAGTTGTGGCCATTCACAGTATGGTATTTCTGAATAACAATCTTATCCACAGAGTCATGGTCATCAAAGGTGACAAAAGCAAAGCCTCTCTTTTTCCCACTGCCTCTGTCAGTCATAATTTCTATCACTTCAATTTTCCCATACTGCTCAAAATAATCTCGTAGGTGATGTTCTTCAGTGTCTTCTTTAATACCACCAACAAAGATCTTTTTCACAGTTAAGTGGGCACCTGGTCTCTGAGAATCTTCTCTTGACGCAGCCCTCTTAGGTTCCACGACTCTTCCATCCACCTTGTGTGGTCTTGCATTCATGGCAGCATCCACTTCTTCCACAGTGGCATATGTGACAAACCCAAAGCCCCTGGATCTCTTGGTGTTTGGATCTCTCATTACCACACAGTCGGTTAGTGTTCCCCATTGCTCAAAATGGCTCCTCAGACTCTCATCAGTTGTTTCAAAGCTCAGCCCTCCGATGAAGAGCTTCCGCAGCTGTTCCGGCTCCTTGGGAGACTCTGACTTGGACATGATGGCAGGATGATCAGAGCCTTCAGCGATGCTTCCTCCTCAGCGTCAAAGAGCAGAAAGTGAATATTTTTTTAGAGTCAAAACAACGTTTAAAAAGTGTGTTCGAAATCTTCCATTTGCCTCTATCTTGCAAGAGTTGGCTGCTCTCAACTCTACCTGGATTTTCAAGGTCTTTTAATTATTTTTTTAATAATTTTTTGAGATTTCTTTATCTTATGTTTTGCTTACATGTGTGGCTGTGTATCATGTGTGTGCCTGGTGCTTGTACAGGTAATATGGGGGATCAGATCCTCTGGAACTAGGGTTATGGATGGTTGTGAGCCACCATGAGGGTGCTGGGAATTGAACTGGGGTCTTCTAGAAGAAGCAAATGTACTCTTAACAGCTGAGCCTTCTCTTCAGCCCAGTTTTCTAACTCTTAACTTCTTATGATGTTATGTGGGTTCAAATGTCTCCAAACAGCTTAGAATGGTCCTTACTCCTTTTCTGGGTATGGTAAGAATTTAAAGTATAATCTGCAGCTACTTTCATGACTATCAGCTGTATTTGAAAACGTGCATATTACTTTTAAAAATATTTTTTTCCTAGAAAATTTCCTATAGTTAAACTAAATCAAGAGTTATTGGTGTCATTGTTTACTAATTATCTCCTGCTTTTAAGGCTCAAGTCTAAATTGTCCTCTATAGATCGATGTGTTTGAACACGTTGTCCCCAGCCAGTTTTAGTGCTTGAGAGGTTGCAGAACCACCTATCTAGGTGAAATAGGACACTGGGTGTAGGTCCATGGGGTGTATTATCCTTGGCATGATTTCTGCTTCCCAGTTGGCCAACAGAAATAGGTTCCTTTTGCTTCTAATCATTGAGCATCTCCTGTTGTGATATTTTTCCTGCCAAGGTATACTGAAGTCTCCCAAACTGAGTTATGACAAACTCTTCTTTCCCTGTTTCTGCCATGTATTTTGTCACAGTAATAGGAAAAGTGGCTAGCACCTGCACATTGTTTACAATTTTGTTCTATGAATTGCTTCTATTTCTCAACTTAAAAAGGCTGAATTTGTTTCCCAAATTCTTAGGTGTCTGAGCCCACCTTTTGATAACTGAGTTTGAAATGATCCCCAATATTTTCAATCCCTTCTGTTTCAGCTATGGTTGATATCATATTTCTTTCCAAATGGCAGATATAATGAATCTACAGATCTTAGTTAGCCCTTTATCTTTACAACTCAGATGTGAGACTCCATGGCTCCTTTGAAGTTATAATAATAAGATATTCAAAGACTCTACTTTGCTGAATTCTACAGTGGAAGTGTTGAGTAATTACAATCTGAAGAGATAAAGCAAAGATGCAGAACTTGCTTACTTTGATTAAGAAAGCCAGAAGAAAAGACGGTTTTAAATATGAACATGAGATTTAATGTCTAGAGAACAAAAATTTCTATTTTAGGCCAAAGTTTTGTTATTTTCTAGAGTCAAGTTAGAAAGAATAGATTTTTTTTATTTTTAAGAGTAGTAAGTCTTAAGATGGCCGAGTCTTTTAGGTGATATCTGTTACTTGCCTTTGATCCAAATGGTATGAGTCAACTATCTGCAAAAGGTGTAGACAAGTGTTTGGACTATACACTATCTGAAGATTAGACGGTAGGCAATGTCTGGAGGGAAATCACTGTCCAGTGGGTGAGACCAGATCATCTTTATAGAAGAACCATTTGGATGTCAGAAGATGAGTCAAGTTTTAGTGGAATTCCAGGGCAGGAGGAATGAATGACTACATCCCATGGATGGAGAACAGGCAACCTGAAGGGAAAGTGCTGGAAAAACTCAAGGTCTATTATAATGACCAGGGAGTTACTCCATGAAATGACAGTAAAGTTACAAGGACAGCAAGAGAAGAAATGGGCAGATATTGTTAAGGATGAAAGAAACACTCTGGACTTGTTTAAATCAATAACTTGAAACTCTCTACACAAAGCTAGCATTTAGGAAGACAGTAGGTCATGCTCTATGGAAGGATTTATGGCAGAAAACTCACTTTAGCATTACATAGTACTTTACCCTTGCAAAAGACATTTAGGATTGTGTGAAAGTCACCTTGAAATGCATATAGTTTGTGTTTGTTACAACTATGGGCTCATTCTGGTGTAGGAAGGCACCATCCCTTACAATCTTTCCACAGGGAACCATAGCCGAGAGCTTAACCTGATCAATGAGCATTCCCAGGACATAAAAAGCACGTTACAGGAACCTGTTTAGAAAATGCCATCACAAATTTATTTTAGAAACAACAGTTTGCTAATGTGTTTCAGTAAGATGATTGACAGCACAGGCTAGATTTTGAAGGGATCTCCAAGGAAGCTTAAAGTTCTGTAAGAATAAATAGGATGATCAAAGGTAGAATCATTTGGAAATCTGAATATTATAAACGGAAACGTCTTTGTGTCTTTCTCATCCTCACGAAAGCCTGGGGTCTTGATTGTGATGTTTATTATTATTTATGTGTGTATGTGAGGTGCGTGTATGTTGAATGTGCATGCCCATGCTCACTCATGCAGGGGCCAGAGTTACTGGCCAAATGTCAGGTGCACTCTATCACTTTCTGCCTTATACTCTTGAGACAGGGTCTCTGGCCGAAATCAAATCTCATTTCAGCTGTGCTAACTGGCCAGAGAGCCCAGAAACCGCTTGTCTCCACCTACCATTGTTGGGGTTAGATACATGAGATACATGCAGTTCCCTGCCCCCCCCCCCACCATGAGGGTGCTGGGACTTAACCTAAAGCTTATACAGCACTTTTACTCACTCTGCTATCTCCTCAGCCCATTTGACTATAATACTGTAATGAAGGAATCATTTGTTTTCAAAACGTTTGATTCACAGACATTTTCACTTACATATTTATAATACACTTTGGTGTTTAGTCCAAGCACTGAGGAAAACGAGGCTGGGCTGTTCATATATTATTATTATTTTTCTTACTAAGAGAAAATTATTTTCACCTGCAGTAATAGCAGCCTAAGATCAGTACAAAAGGGAATTTCTGAGGATTCCTTTGTGGGCACAACTCTACAAAACACTGTTTTGTTTTCTAAAGCAGGCAGAACCGGGAATTGATGTATTTTGCCACAAGATATTAGGACAAAGAGGCTCCATTTACTTAATTAAGGTATCTCCTAAAACAAAAAACAACCACAAAAAAAAAAATGAGTTAAAGCCAGCTGTAAAGGGTTCTACAGAAAAATAAATTGGGGGTATGGTTAAAGCACTGGCTCACTTTGGAGGCTAGCAAGTACTAACGTGTAGGGTAGGTGAGAAGGATGGAGAGCCAGGGAGGAGCTCATATTCCTGCTTGAGGCTGATCGCTGTCCAGGGGCAGAACTCGCTTGTGAGAATTCACCTATTTTGCACCAAAATCATAAAGAGTAACTTTACTCCAAGTCTACTAATTTAAATATTAACTCTATATAAAATACATGTTCAATGTGACATTTAGATTGGATGACCAGTGAGTACCAAGCCTTGTCAAATATACTGGTGAGTGACCATGTGATTTCTCTGTGGAATAGAGTACAGTTGAAATGAAGATATTCTGATGTTTTTGCTTTAGGCTGAAATTACAAATACTTAATCACTTTGGCTCAGGAAAAAAGATAGTTCAGAATGGCTCAAATCAACATTTGGCCTTTGATTCCAGTGAAGACACTGCTGCTACCTGCCTTGGATACTTCACCAGGGAGCACATTTCTCCTTTTAAATGAAACCGATTTCTTTGGAGTTCCAGGATTTAGCTTAAGTGAATGCCCTTGTCCTTAGGGCACAGTTGAGAAAATGTTAAGAAAACCTGGTAGCTTCAGCTGTACAGTTAGACTGGACTTTTCACTCTTTTTAGTGATGAGTTATGGTTATGGGTTTTTCATTTAGCGCCAAAGACTTGATACCAATGAGTCTAAGATGCAATAAGAAAACTACACCTCTAATGAAGTTTTCATAGCAGAGATCATACCCTAAACAAATAAATCTTAAGTGTCCTTTTTCAGAGTATTGTGCTCTTGGGTATTAAAAAAAAAAAGCTAATTTCCCCTCTCTATGACACCCTTGAAGTACTTCATGTGATCAGATTTACATAGGAATATATTGTGTTAATTCTAAGGATTAACATGGGATAGTTTCATACTTGCTGAGATTAAATGAAAGGCAGGATTACAAATACTGGAGCCCCCATTTCCTTTACCTGATCAAAGTACACAGAAAAAGTGGCTTTGTGTGTCTGGTGGCTGTGGATGCCCAAAGAGGTCACTGGATCCTCTGGAACTGGAGTTATGAACAGTTGTGAGCCATCATGTATGCTGGGAATGGAGCTTGGTCTTCTGCAAGAATCTTTGCTCCTGAAGAATTTCTTCACTCTCTCCCAAAGCTCCAAAGTCTTAAATGTCCTTAAATTGTCAATTTCATATAAAACAAATAACTTTCTAGAGTCTGCAGTTCCAGCCTTAAATCAGTGAGTGAAAAAAGACAGTAGTTGTAGGTGGATGATCCTTCATCCATGAGTCATATGGAGTGCACAAAGTAGACTCTGTGGGTTATTTAAAAAAACAAAACAAAACACAAGGACATAAAGTTGGGAGAGAGTAAGGAATGGTTCTGAGAGAAGTGAAGGGTAAACAATCTATTTGTCTCAGTGTATGTGTGTGTGTGTGCATAAATTCTCAAAGAATTAATACTGTTAAAACACAGTAGAAGAAAAATGTTACAGCAAAGTATCATCTATGAAGATCTGGGTTGGATCTCTGGTATCTAAAGTTATTCTATACTTCTATTCAAATATTCCGTGGAATTCATAACTCTTTTTCCTTACAGCACACATCAGTGCAGGTCATAAGCAGCTGTAGTGATAGGTAGCAGCAAGTGAGTCTGTACAGCTGGGTCTGGACAATAAGCAGCCTCCTTTGGATATAGGTGTTTAAAATACGGTATCATTGAAGTTTGATGATGAGAAGTTGCTGTACAGAAGTCACACACACAGACAATCTTTGTCTATATTTTATACAAATACAACAGTAGTTTGTGAATACATTTTAAGTACATGATATACATGATAAGCCACTTGATTTCCCAATATCACAGAATAGCAATTTAAAATGCAATAAAAATATACAAAATTCAGTCTGGAATGCAGATTTTTTTTTCATTTCTATTTGACTCAAAACTTTACCATTAGAACATTTTTAGAGTACTCGTCCAAACACTTTTTCATTAGCTAAAAAATAAAATAAAATAAAATTCAGCAGTCAGCTTATGTTCAGGCATGATGCAATCCATTTCTCTAATGGAGTCCCAGTTTCTGTTAAATTCAGAGGGCTGTTAGTAACTTACAGCATGTTCTTCACTCCACACCCTATGTCAAGCCCACTTTCCATTCTGAGTTACAGTCACCTTGTGGACAAAAGCTGGGTTTGTTCCGGTAACATTTGCACATCCAAGATCTCCTTTTGCAAGTGCACATGAATACACTGTGGTGGTGTAAAAGTTTGTTAATGACAATTTAAAGTCACAGTATAAAAATATATAGTACACCTTTACACCTATATAGTCCTTTTCCTATGGATAAAAAAATACAACTGAATGAGACAGAAGTTTGTAGCACCATGAAGAGTTGTATCCCAAGTGACAGTAGCAGCATGATCCCATATAATGTTGAAGGAGGGCTTCTGAGAAGACAGACATTCATTCTGATTCATCTGTACCACTGAAGTTTATGCAAGGAAGTGTCTTATACATCATCAACAATTCTGTGTTATCTTTAGAGATTGATAACTCATCAAAAGACACTGCGTTCCATCCCCAGGGGCTGCTCACATTGTAGAAAGGCTTATTGGTGATCTGTATCTGCTACATAGGCATTATCTTGTATGATCTCAAAGGAGTGCTCTGTGGGTACAACACAATTTAGGTACTTATGTAGGCCTACATAGTAATCAAGCTATATTGTGTTGTAGACCTGGCTGCTGACAGCATGAATAAAACAAGACAAACTCACCAAGGAACTCATTTGTCAGAAAAAAACAATCTGCCTTCATTAAGGGCAAATACTCAACATTGAAAAGATCTCCTTCAATGTCACATGGATCTCAGTAGGCTAAAAGCAACTTGGGTGAACTGGTATCTTTTAACTTACTTATGGACTGGGAAGACAGTGTGCTTTGAGATACGTAAACCTTGTAAAAAAATAAACCATTGTAAAACCTTATGAAAAGACACACACTGATTCTGTGCAATATAGCAAATCGATAAGAAAACACTGTAAAAATGTACCTGTTTAAAATACCATCTACCATTTTTTTGTACACAAAGCATTATATATCAAAGGCCTACATATATATCATCTAATGGCACTTGAAATGAATATAAGTCTTAAAAATAAAAGGCATAACATATAGGAAAGTTTCTGTAGAAATTTAGGTTCAATTTGAAAGTGCTATATCTTGTAGTATATGAAGTATAGAGGTTGACCAAGCTCTATTTTTTAAATTGGCCTATATGTGTACTGCTCACTAGATGAATGATCCTGACATATGTACTCTATAACATTCATTATTAGCTTAATAAAGCAATCAGCTCTGGCTCATGTTTCAGTCAGTATATGGTTTTAAAAAACCGTCACTGTCCAAATTAACACAATATATCACTATATTCCACAAATGACTAGAAAAATAAAGCACAAGCAACAAATACGCAAAAAACTACACAGCTTGAAAGAAACGCTGACTGAAATTAAACAAAAAAAAAAAGCTGCACACAGATGGTGCATGGTCTGCCAAGGCAACTTAAATTTTAGAAAACTGAACGAGTAATAGGATTTTGAATGAAAGCTTAAGAGACAGTAACTACACATGTGGTACTGGTAAATATCAATGGATTATATTGCGTATGGTGCCAGGCCTTTCTGTGCTCATGCTCCTGAAGCTGCACGGCGTTTGCACGCACATGTTGAAGTCAAACTGAATGGACCTCAGCATCTCGCTGAGGTCCAAACTCCACACTACACTGCTTTAGTTAACGTTAATCCCTTTTCTTTCAGCCACGCTAAGGCACTATCGGAAATTCCAAGGATCATGGAGAATGAAAAGGGCACTGGCAAGACCTATCGCTAAGCAGTCCTACTAAAACAAGTGACAGTATTTCCTATGGGGAGGAGGGGAAGCCAATTCTGTGTTACATCCTTGTTAAAACATTGTGCAATTAAAATAAAAAAGGGTTTAGTGACCACTGCAGTCAAAACAAAATCAAAAACAAAAACAAATTTGCTTATTTCCCTCTTACTTTGAAGTGTTATTCAAGTCTGTGGGGGCAGCAACAGGCAAAGAAGTGTACATACAAAGAAAATTAAGACTCTACATTTTAACACTGGTACCCTGGAAGATGTGTATTAGAGTTCCATGCAGGGCAAGAGTTAGGATAAAAATATATTTATTTTATATATATATATATATACACACACACACACATATGGCGCCATTCCCATTTCAAAATGCTTTATTTCATATATCCTGGTACTCCCTTTTTTCAATTAGCAGTGAAATACATACAGCCTATGAAGGCCAACGTCCCATGTCATTAATGTGACTTCTTAAGCAAATTTTAGATAGAATAAACTAGTGCTTTCATATGTGGTGTTTGTGAACTCTACATAAAAATAGGTTTTTTTATTTACTTGTGCTCTGTCACCAAATGTCTCCTGCTTTTTAAGTGGTGATTAAAGCAACACTGAACACTAACCATCCAACTAGAACATTAGGTAAGTGATCTGTTTCATAGAAACTAAGGAAGCGGTCATGAAGCAGAGCGGAGAGCCCACTTTCAGAGTGAGTGTGCTCCCACTCACAGCTCAGGAGCAGCTTGAAGAGTTAAAATGTATTTCCTTATTAACATATATAATTTTAATGCCTTTGGAACACTTTTTAATAAAATGTATTTTTCACAATAAAATTTAAATACATAAGTATAAAAACTACTGCTCTAGGGTTAGAACCAGGAGCTCGAGCCCTCTAGAGGGCAACTCCGATTCCATGAAGTGCACTAGGCGTGTGTATGACATACAGTGAAAGCCCCATTCACATGACAGTTTACACTTCTCAATTTATACTACTCCTGGGCATTGTAAATAATGCATTAGAGTCAGTAATCTGTAATTATGTAGGTTGCTGGGTAAACAATGCAATATGCAGTGACAACTGGCCCTTACAGAAGGGAAGGAGCTTCCCCATACAGGGCTAATGAGTGCTCAGAAATTAAAAAATACTTTCTTCTTCTTCTTTTTTTTTTAAAAAGAGATACATACTCTTCTATGAATCTCCCCTCACCCCTGCCCCAACAGAAGGGGTCTCAAAATAAGGTGTTAACAAGTGCTTAATAGATAAGTCTCGTAGGTTGATGCCACAAATAACCCTTAGGAAGATATACATGGAACTATTGATCACATTCCTGGTGGCTGTCTGACAAGAGGAAGGCCATCGCTACCTTGCTCAGTGAGTGCCACGGTGCATTCATATTCATTTGGTGTTTGCTTTATTTTTCTCTGTTTCCTCTATAGATTCAACTTATTTCTAACACTCCTCCTGTTTCCCAGAGATGTGTAAAAATGGGGTCTTACAACTTTTGGTTGTGTAAAACTGTGGAACTCCTCAAGTTGCTTTTTGATGTGTCTAATTTTTAAGTTCTCCATCCAAACACAGCAGGGAAAGATGGATATGCACTGAGTAAGAGCGCACTGGGGCAAGGGATGCTTTAGAAGTGACGTGTGGGCTTTTACTCAGCACCCAAGGAGTCCAGTTTTCAGCTCTGGCAACAGTGGAAAGAAATTCTCTAGACAAGTTCTGGGGTTTGGCTGTATGTTTTACGTCCATCTTCCTGTGAGAAGTCTATCACCCCGACGCCTCAGGCAGCCCAGCCACTCTGGGTTTCACATATTTACTGTCTATTGTCCCACAATGGCTCTAAGACTCTGGACTAACTGTAGACCAACATACAAAGTAAGAACGCTGTTATACTGAAGCCATCCTGGACTATGAAAGGTGAAGGACATACATACAACAAATCATGTCTACACTGATCCTGAAGACCCTGAAGCCACATAGTTAATGTAAAGATGACTGAAATGTGGCAAACCAGCCTGAGGGCTAGTGCTAACACAGAGCACCCTGTGACCTCTCTAGGTTGCTTTTAGATAGATACTGAAACTTCTTATATTTTAGCCAGATAATAGCAGTCTCAAAATATACTGATCTGAAATGATGGTATATTTAAGAAACCACTATACTCTCCTCAGACTGGATTCTTAACTCATTTAAAACACACTTGATTATGAATCCATTTAGTGGCTAGTAAAAAATGTGAAACACTTCAGTTTTTCACACATATTTCAAAAGATTTACATTGTACTGCATATTTGCAAAAAATGTCCAATGCCCATTGCTATTAGACACAAATGAAAAATTTAAGGTCTAACAGTAATTTGAACACAGGACTTGTAAAATTTAGTGATAATAATGGCGCTCCTATATGAAATAAAACTCTGAGACTATGACAACTGATAGGAAATCAGGAAAATAGAAAACGCAGTTAAACATGAACGATTCAAAGCTTATCAAAGAGGCTAGTTCCTATTATTTACTGGCTTCATAAAACCTGATATTATACAAAAGCAGAAGTTTTTGTATTGTGTTAAAGTAGGCACTAGAATATAAATGGTCATCGCAGGTGGGGCTACACAAGCACCTCTGGGTAACTCCCTTGGCCCAGACCCTACTGAAATGCCTGGTGGAAACGGGGTAGGGTAGTGCTGGAGCTTAGGCTGCTGGTGAAAGCTGCTGACAGTGAGTGCAGAGAACCAAGACCCACTGCATTCGCAGGATCCTGAAGATCCTGTGTTTGTGTGGGTAGCTGAGAAACAGAAGAATGCGCTTCATCCTGGGAATAGCTCATCCCAAGGCTTCCCACTGAAAGCGGATTATAAGGAGGACCATTTAATGGTATGAAATTGAACAACTGAGAGAAATCCAATGCTGGTGTGTTGAGGGGGTCACCGATAGAGATAGAGCTCTTTGACAGGGAGAGGTCCCCAGCACCATCATCTGGGGATCCACTCTGAGGATCTAACCCTAACTTAGATGAAGATGCTTGAGAATCCTGGGATGAAGATGGTGCGCCACCTTGTAACTCCATCAGGTAACTCTCAATTTCCCCCTTTAATGGCTGTTCTTTTTCAGGAATAGAGATTGCATATGAGGTAGAACTGAATGGGCATTTAAAAGCAAGATGATGAGAGGGGTGAACAGCATCCATATCTATGGGGCATGTCATTCCCAAAGGTAAAGTTGTTATCATTTGGTGAGCAGATCCAGAGCTCTGCATGGACTGAAATGGAGTGTTATAGAGGTTTAACTGCAAAGTGTTTGTGAATGGCTTTGACAAGAGTTCACTTGAAGGTAAGGACATGACCGGCAGGAGTTCATCTTTTATAGGCACAGACATGTTGCAGGTAAATGGGTCCAGGAAATCTACTGGTTCGGTTTTGACTTTCAGAAGCTCCTGATTGTGACTTTTCTTCATGTGTCGAGTGAGGTGATCCTTTCGTCCAAATCTCTGTGCACAGTACTGGCAGAGGAAGTCCTTTCTTCCCGTGTGCACCACCATGTGTCTCCGGACATCCTTCCGGGTGTAGAACCTGCGCTCACAATGCTCACACTGGTGTTTTTTCTCTTTCACACCCCCAGACGACTTGCCTGCATGAGATTTCAGGTGCTCTAGGAGCACACCTGTGCTCTCAAAAGTCTGCAAACACACCTTGCAGGTGAGGTCGCCACTGGTGGCAGCGTGCAAGGCCAAGTGTCGCTTAAAGCCAAGCTTCGTGTTGTAGCTCTTGCCACACTCTTCGCATTTAAAGGTCTCTTTGTTGGGGTCGTGCGTATGGAGGTGGTTCTTCAGATGGTCTTTCCGGTGGAACATTTTCTCACAATAATTACACTTGTGGGTTTTCTCAGGAGAATGAGTAGCCATGTGCCTTTAAACATAGATATATTCTGTGAGTGATTATCTTAGCACAAAGGTATGTATTCACTTTTAAAATGGGCAGATAATCTACTAATGCTAAGACACAGCTCTCTCAATGAAGGCTCTCCCTAGCTAACACACACCACAGGACAGTTAACACACTGCAAAACTTGAGCCGTCTACTTGCCACTTCAGTGTTCATTACAGAAGTAAGCAAGCAAGACTGAACATATGCATGTACTGTCCAAATCCTTCTCATGTAAAAACTTCTCTCTAGAAATGGAAATTCTACTTTCATTAAGCATTTTACTTAAAAAAAAATTTAAAGACACTAACACAAATGTATGTGATTTAAAATACTGCAAGCTAGCCAATATCTAATCTACTTAACATTTCCACTCTGCAAATCAGCTGAGCAATGTGTATTCAGATATACACACACTTACAATGGCTTCAGAGGGCCAACACAAGAGGAAAGTATAATCTGAAAGACAAATAGAGTGTAGTACCTTTGTAATTTGTACTTAGAAACAAAGGCCTTGGTGCAGTCTTGGTGTGTGCACTTGTAGGGCCTCTCTCCCGTGTGAGAGAAGGAGTGAACCTTTAATTTCTCAACACTGTTAAAGGCCTTGTCACACAGTTGGCAAGGAAAGTTTTTTCTTGGTTTGCTTTCACCACGCTTACGTTTCCCTGAAGGGGCTTTCTGGGTATCTCTTACTTCTGACAAATCACCAGGAATGACAGTGGCCATCGCAGCCTAAACCAGGCCTTCTTGTTGGACACCTGGGAACTGCCCAACTCCACTAAGTGATATAGCTTTAGGTGGCTTCTCAAGTTTCATGTGGTCGTAAAAGAAAGCAAAAAGGGACTGGAAAAAAAAATAAGAAACAACTAGTTTGTAACTAAACTCAATTTTTAAAAAAATTACTTGCTTTGTGATGCTTTTGAATTAAAAAAAGAAACCATAAAATGGATTCAGCTGGTCCAATGTAATATCTGTAGGTTTCTTGGTATTTTCCAAAACAGATATAAATGCATTGCTCAGAATGAACAGTTTATACATACCCCGAAATTCCACCTGACAAACGCTGTACTTAGGCATAGCAGTACTGAACTCAGGAACTCTCAAAGCATTGTTCTAAAGGTGGCACCAGAAACTTCAGTTTTCAGCAGGGAGTAGAACACACATCTTACAGTTGAACACCCACTTCAATCTGTGCACACAGATCCTATGTACTATAGGCACTTAGAGCACTTGACAGTTTGCAAACACTGAGTCCATGGAAGAAGCTGAAGCCCAGATACTAGAGGGTAGAAAGGGCTCACTGCCCTAAGTGAGAGCTGACCCTGTAAACCAGCACTACGACACTCCGAGGATCTCTGATCAGGAGCAGAATGACATATCTTCATAATAGATATTCTTGAAATGGTAAAGCCTTTGCATAGCACTAGGTAAAAGATGAGGATCCTTGTCACTTGTGGAGATCTGGTCAGCTTCCCTCAAGTGCCTTTACATCAGAGAGAAGATTATTCTTACTAGGTGCTCCAAGGTCAATAGGTCAGAGCTATTAGGCCACCCCAAGAGAAGGGATCAATCTTTGACAGACCCGAACCTGAGTGCAGCACAGCTGTGGAGAATTCTTTCTCTTAGTGCACAGCACCTGTTCTAGAATGTAACCTCAGAGAGGTATTTCAGGTTGGTCAAAGGTGTGTTAGAGGTTTAATCCATGATCAATGCTATGAGAAAGAATGAAATGTGCACACTGTGTAATGAAGGGTATATTGTTAAAAAGAAATAATTAAAACTAAATAGAAACCTCCATAGATAAGAAATTGTAAATATAACCAACTCTATTTCCCAGAGTAGGAAAATCAACTCCTTAAAGATTCTACTGCTGTATAAATTAAATCAGTGGTTCTCAATCTTCCTAATGCTGTAACTCTTTAATACAGTTCCTCATATTGTGGTAATTCCCCCCACCATAAAATTATTTTCCTTGCTACTTAATAACTGTAATTTTGCTACTGTTATGAATTATGGTGTAAATATCTGTCATGTGACTCTGGTGGAGGTCTCGACCCACATGAGACCCACAGGTTGAGAAGCACCGAGTTATATGTTTCTTAAGGTAATTTAGAGGGGTTCTTCCAATAGACCACAGAAATGACAGCACCCATAACCTCTTTTAAAAGGATCTGATTATTAAATAGAGTTAAATGACTTATCAATGAATGATTCCAAAGAAGAAGCTGAAGCCCAGATATTAGAGGGCAGAGAGGAAAAATCTGTCATCCTACATATATTTTAAAGAAAAGAACCAACTTCCTTATCTTGCCTGTGTTCTGGTGTTAGACAGACATATGCCTTTATACAATTAGATCTGTTACACTTATTTTCACAATTTTAGTTAAAATTTTTCAGGAATTCTAAATACCTACATTTTGGTAACATTTAATGGTATGTTACATCTTTTTGTACTTTAGCACACAGCAGCTGTTCCTAAGCAAACAAAACAACAGTAAGCCACTATTTTGATTAAAGCAGTACAGCATTCAGGTAAGGTGAAGACATACAGTTTCTTTTCTGTAAGACAGATGCAGGCCTTTGCACTGTTCTGAATATCAGGAAGTTCCTCTTGCAGTTTACAAATAATATAAATATGATGCAACCAGTATCATAGCACCGATTCAGGTGTTAGCTCTGATGTCACGGCACAGATCCAGTTGTTAGCGATGATGTCATAGCCCTGATTCAGCTGTTAGCTTTGATATCACAGCACTGATACAGCTGTTAGCTATGATGTCACAGCTGCAGTTCTTAGCTATGATGTCATAATACTAATGCAGTTGTTAGCTCTGATATCATAGCAATGATGCAGTTGTTAGCTATGATGTCACAGCACTGATTAAGTTGTTAGCTGTGATGCCACAGCACTGATGCAGTTGTTAGCTATGATGTCACAGCTGCAGTTCTTAGCTATGATGTCACAGCACTGATGCAGTTGTTAGCTATGATGCCACAGCACTGATGCAGTTGTTAGCTATGATGTCACAGCACTGATTAAGTTGTTAGCTATGATGCCACAGCACTGATGCAGTTGTTAGCTATGATGTCACAGCACAGATCCAGTTGTTGGGTATGACATCATAGCATGGATGCAGTTATTAGCTATGATGCCACAGCACAGATGCAGTTGTTAGCTATGATGTCACAGAACTGATGCAGTTGTTAGCTATGATGTCACAGTACTAATGCAGTTGTTAGCTATGATGTCACATCACTGATGCTGCTGTTAGCTCTGGCTGTGGGTTTTCTGAAGCTCATCTTTTCCTGTTAGGAGCTTATTCAAGAGACAAATACTTTGTCTCCCTCCTATTTAGGGGTAAAAATAGTCACTCTTCAGACAAGAAATGACAGTAAATTAGTATAGAGCTTTAATTTTCATTGTGATTTCCTCACTTGATGCTTTCATAGACTTATTTAGACTGTGCACAAGTCGATCATTTTCCAATTGCCAAATCAAAAGGGCATGCAAGCTATCTAATAACTAGGTCTGAAAATTGTTCATAATCACCACTGTAACAACACAGTTGTGATGTTGAGAATTCTGGAAGACAAAAGCAACTTTTATGTGACTATTCCCCACCAAAATATTAAGAGGGCACCATGAAACAACACACAAGCTTTTGATCATATTAACTTGGTGATATTCAATATGATGTAACCAATGGATTGTATCTGGATGTACATACTGAGCAATGAGGAATCGCACTGATACCAAATATTACACTTTTCTAAGACCAGCTGAAAATTTTCATGGCTGATAATGCTTTTATATATTAATCCATTACAAAATTCAAATTACATATTAGGTACATTTACAATTTCAGGATCAATATAATGTTGTGAACTTAATGTCTAATAATTATATTCATAATATATTTATCAACCAAAATACTTGAAAGGCACATGCATAGAATAAGTGATTTTTATTCAACATATACCTGATTAATGATGGAAAAAGCCTCAGACTTTGATCTTAGCCAGTTCCATTAACTCTTCGTGGAATAGAGCAGAATCCAGCCCTTCCCATTTTGGCCAATCTATGAAGAAGTAAAAAAAAAAAAAAAAGAATGGACTATAATATAAATGAAACTAGAGTGTAGATGACAGGAATAAAGCATGAGCAAACTGCAATTTCATAGCGCATGCTCACATTCCACTTTGCTGATGAGTCGTGCATTAACTCCCACTAATTGCTTGTTTTGATTAGTTGAAAGCACACTTTACATGACCAAATAGATAAACAAATAAAAAGAAAAATGGTATTACCTAGAAAAAAATGTCAATTTGTGATGCTGAATGACTCCCCATTTGTTAATAGAAAAGAAATCTAAGCAAGAGATACTGATTGTAAAGGAAACTGATAAAAATTCATTGAGCTTAATCTAATGGAACTTAGTTTCCTCCTGATCACAGCACTGCTGCCCACACTGCCACACTTGTGACTGGGGCTTCTTAGAGTCACCTTTCCACTACTTGCAGAACTGCCAATTTAAACTAAAGGATGCCGTAAGGATGGCTGGAATGTAGCAACCACTCTGAAGTTCAGATTCCAGGTCCATGCGAGGGAAGTTAAGTACAGGTTTGCTACAGGAGGCAGGTATCAGGGAAAAAGCAATATTGGTTGCATGAGACCATTGTTGAGAAATCTTAAAGACAGCTTAAAGATGCCTGTTAGGAGCAAGATCTTTAGCAGACTGACAGCACACATATAAACTGTGTTAGTATTTATAAAGGAAAGAAAAGGCAAGAATAACAATGGTATAAAGTAAAAAAGACCTACAATTATAACAAAGAATACAAGGCAAACAGTGGTTAGTAATCTGTGATTATTTTAATTAAGTATTCAGAAGTATTAGTTAGAAGAATACTTAAAAATCAGTAAAAAAGGATATGTCAATGACAAATTGGGTTAAAAAACTTCTAATGTTGTATAACAATCTAATAGTATTTCTTTAAATAAAATCTTCACATATTTTCAGAATTTGATGATATGTAAAGATGATATGCAACAAAAATATTTAATAGAGGACATTCAAGCATCATTATAAAATTACTGAGTGTACATAAGAAACCAGTATTATTTTTATTGTTTAAAAGAAAAAGAAAAATTTTAGATAAAAAAGGTTATCTTTAAGAGTTCAAGCAAAAGCTCCATTTTTATACAGCACAGGACATGCATAAGTGGAAGAACATCAAAATTGCAAAATAGCAAAATTAGCTTTGTAAATACTTACTTGCCCAGGACATACACTGAATATTTGGTATGGTAATTATGAATATGAAAGATCATTTTATGTACTGTTATCTGAATAATGTAAGTACTTCACAGAGTATTTTCATATTTATCTCATCCCTGCTGTCATTGACCCCAGATACTGTGCTATGTGATCACATTTCTGTGGTCAAGATGAGACTTCTGTCTTAGACTCCCACTTCATTTAGATTGTATTGTAATCTATGACAGGGCAGATTAGCAAACCAACCTGCATGTGGATAAATACTGTCACTACACTTAAAGGATCGAAAGAAGGTTCTGTGTTATTTTTCTATGAGAACTTCTAAATAAAATCTCCAAAAAGAATTTTTTAAAAAGTGTAAAAGACAATATGCCAGGTAATTTTTAAAAATAATTTAATTAAGCATTAAAATAATTAGCAATTTTGAGTGGATGATTTGAGCAGAACTAAATATAAAACTAAAGCTGACAAGCAAATAATAAATTTGTGTATTCATAAAATTCTATCTCTGCTTATTTGTACAGTGGCATTTTATAGCAGAAATGCTTTAGCAACTATTTCAAACAATGAATGCATAAATATAGCTGTCTACAATCTTATAGTCCATTCCACTGTATATCTTATAGTCAGAAATAAAGCTGTAAATAAAACCATCACATTAGTTTATCTTAAAGCATAACTTCCAAATCATGATTAATTTCTCTAAATTGCGCCTTACTTTGAATTTTTTATTAGTTGCCAAATAATTCCCAAGAACTGCTCATTTTTCCCAAGACACAGGATGTCAAGAGTTGATTAGATTTATTTGTTTGACAGAATAAACATAAAAATTAAATACAGTTTATATTCATGTAACCCTAGCTAAAATGTTAACTACCGTTATCTGTGTATTCTCTTTCACGCCCAGGGGGCGATGGGGGAGGAAGTCTTATTACTCCTCTAAAACGTCTGTAACCAAAGGGGAACAAAACCTTAACTCATGTCTTCCCTTTCTAGTTAAAATAATTTATCAAAGATTGGTTACATTAGTGATGGAAATTCCGCTTTGCCTTCGTCTAAGGAATTGTCAAAGAAGGCAGAGACTACACATACCCAGTCTACACTGCCCTACAGTGAAATGTTTCAGAATACTATATCCCAGCTTCTGATGATATCTAAGCAGACACACTACCTCTACCCTCTACTTCCAAGGTGATTCTGCATCCAATAGAAGCAGGAGTTAAAGGGAAGGTTATATACTTGGGCACAAAGAGTCATCTTCTTATGCTTTATTTTATTCTTGGAAAATAAAAAAATAACAAGCAAACACACCGCATATCAGAGGGTCTACTGAAACCAACTCCTATGAGGTGTCAGCCAAAGGATGAGTCTATAAGGAAACAGGTTTCAAGGGTTTTTGTTGTTGTTGTTGTTGTTTTTTTTGAAATTGGATATCTCACAGTTCTATGAGTTGCATTGTTAACAGTTGTGAATTCTGAACAATACTTACCGGCATTAATAGTTTTTTCATTTTTAAAAGTCAGATTTTGCTAAGAGCAAATGCTATACATCTCCAAGGCTTTGCTCTCCCTTGTACTAATCATAACATACCATTAGTGCACAATTCGGAAAAATATCAACATGTGCTTAACACATTTTCCAACAGGGTAGATCGCAGAAGGAAACTTAGCAGTGATAATGCTTTTTATGTATGAAACAGTAATAGAATCTTGAATAATAAGAAGGAGATGAACTAGATTACATAACTAAATACAGCTTTGAAGGAGACATACCACCATATTAGGAACATTGCTTTAAAACATCATTGATCCTAACTTGGACATTCTTAATCAGCTAGCTCTCATTCTATAGAGTTCTTTGCTAATGAAGAAAAAAAAAACTATCTTGTATTTATAAAAACTTAAGAAAGGGTAATGGGGTATGTTCAAAATGCATTCAATATATGTATTAGACGGTCAAAAAATTAAAAACAAATGCAAAAATCAAGCAAACAAACAAAAAAAAAAAGACCTTCAGAGAATGAGCAGTCAACTGTAGGCAGCTCAGGGCAGGCTCAGGCCAGCTTTATTCACTGCTGTTTCCTATAAATGACAGTAAAGTAACTGTTGAATGAACAAGAAAGATTAAAACAGAGTAAGTGCTTACCACTAACATAATGACCTTTAAGCTTACTCATCACCATAGCAGACAGAAGACAATACATATTCGAGTCCATGATGAATACTAGCACTTATAATAATTTAAAACGTCCATTTTGCTAGCATGCTCTGACTGACGATATTCTTACAAAATTAACTGGTATGAGTAGACAGCAACAATTTATCCCCACTCTTAATAAAAATTCTTAGAGTGAAAACATGCCTGGTACCTGGCTACCTGGGCTGAAGTAGAAGATGGTGAGACTCTTGGGTGGAGTTAGCGATATCTACAGAGAACAGAGGAGCAGATAGCCCACTGAGAAGCAGTATGCACAGCCAAGATGTGTACTTAACTCACCTGAATTATGGGTCCTCAAAAACTCAGTCATGAGACTTGAGCAAGACCAGAGTACTTATTTTCCTATATTAGATATAGTTAATTAATCAGTAAAATTGTGGATGCCTTTTGAAAATTTTCTACATTTAATTTTTTTGTATTTCTTTTTTAATAATTTGTAAAATATAGTTCTAGGATAATCTTTTTCAACTTTACCACAAAATTAGCCCAATTATGTCTAGAAGCATCTTATATTTAATGTAGATCAAAGACTTAAGAAAAAGTGAAGGAAATAGCTCATCTTCTTTGCTTTTTAAGGACAGGTAGGGAAATGTCAACAGATTTCAGAGTTGGCACTGCACAGTTCCCAGAAACTCTCCCACTAGTCTTCAAAGGTCACATTCTGGTCACACGTGCTCTAGAGGGGCTGCATAGAATACCAGCCACCCAAGAACATGCACAAAACAAACACATGGGATTTTTCACTTCAAATATGTCCCTTGGTTATTTATATTATGGAGTGAAAAGGTGAGTGAGGTAAAGAGGATTAATGAGCTGTAACTCCGGAGTCAGCATTTGTATCTTATGTATATGGAAGGTACTCTATAAAGACCAAGGCACACGGGGTATACTAGGCATCTCTCTCTGTAGGGCAGTCAGTACTTGCAAACAGGAAGCGAAAGAGGAACTGTGAAAGCGGAAGTGATAATGTCAAACAGGAGTAGTGGAAAACTGCGACCATAACAGTGCAGACTGAGGGTGTCTCATCAACACTATTAATTATCTTTACAGAATTTTCTGGGCTTCTAAAAATGCACAAAACATTTCCACGTTTGCCATGCAGCTACATTAGAAAGGAAGATGCCTGCAGGTCACATTCTCAACTTGTAATGAGTTCAACGTTACTGCGATTGACTGAGTTGCTGGGGTACCACAAGGGCTCTGACATCAACTACTGTTAACATACTGAAGTCCTGAAACATTTAGGATATGCCTTCTAGAATGAGTACCACACAATTCAAATCACAGAAACAGAAGCCAGGTTTCGTATCTGAACTCCCAGGCACTCACACCAAATCCATGGATAAGTTCAGGAAAAGGTAGAGAGTAGATGGAACCTGAGAAAAGGATTAAGTATCATCTCACTTAGTTAAAAATGGAAATAAGTGTTAAGCTATCTTAAAGTAGTGTGCACCCATAAATGCAGCCTGTGTGCTATGAAGAGGTATAAACACTGCCCAGGCTGCATGCTGATGCTCAAAGAACAGAAAATACATGGATACAAAACCAGTCCTCGGGAAAGGCTCTGCACCTGCCACCAGCCTATGTCTACCCTGTGCTACACTGTGTGGCTGTCAAGGATAAACTCACAACTAGAAACAAGACTTCTCTTTATTACCACATCACTGAGGTAAATAGGATTAATTTTGGGTAACATCATCAAAAGACATGACAGTTGTACTATTTGACCAATCCATTTGAAAACCATCTCTGAGTGACTGAATCCTTTACCCTGAAAGCTAACAGTTATCTTTGTTGTCCTTCCATGTAGCAGTAATCTGATAAATTTTGCCTATCTATCTATCTATCTATCTATCTATCTATCTATCTATCTATCTA